GCCCGCGGCGCCCCCGGGCTGGGCGCTGTCCCTGCAAGGCGCTAGGGCGTTGCCCGAGGAGATTGGATTTAGGGAAGGATTTTACAGACTTAGCCCCGGGACCCCACTTGCCACAGTTGTTTGGTTTTTTTTACTGCTAGGAGCCTCTTACCAGTAAATGGCTGCAGCAACTGCCAAGCTGCACCCACGTGCCTGAGCTGCCGCTTGTGTCATCGGCCCTGGACTTGTCACTCCTTTAAGTGAGGCTCCCCTGTGAAGGGTGAATGTCTCTATTAGCTGAGTGATAGAAATGTAGCCCTGTTAGTCTGGTGTATCTCAAGCAAAATACAGGACGATGTAGCACTTTAAAGACGAACAAGATGGTTTATTAGGTGATGAGCTTTCGTGGGCCAGACCCACTTCCTCAGATCAAATAGTGGAAGAAAATAGTCACAACCATATATACCAAAGGATACAATTTTTAAAAAATGAACAGGTTAGCTGACACGTTAATAACGAGCGAGAATATTGACAGTAGCTTCAGCACACCAGTTTCCCTAGTAACAGTCCCTGTGTTCTTCTTGTGATTTTTTTTGGTCATCCTACTAATTTTTATTCCTAGTATTCATCCAGTCCTGTCCCACTTTTTTAAACAAAAGTCTATTCTTAGGCTCATATGATTTCAAGGCTGACATTTCTTGGATTGGTGCCCCAGTCTCTGATTTTTTTTCATCTACCAGTGGCCCTTGGCAACTGCTATTTTGTATCTGTACCCAGCATTCCAGTGCATTTCACCACTTGGGTAGAACTTGTGTCCCAAACGTTCAGTACAGGCCAGATTTTTTAAGGTTGAAAACATCCAGCTGCTTCCAAATTCTTACTAGTGACTGAAATAACACTTTTTTATGTTGTAGAAATTTGCCTTTGAGAAGGATTTCATCGTGTAATGTTTACTCAGATATACAAGACTGACAGCCACAAGAATTAAGAAAATATAGAGTTATGCACTCAAGGTTCAGAGAAGCACAGAGCCAGAGAGAGAAAGAGAGCTGGACAAAACAGCTGATCTAGTCAAGTAAAGGTCCTCTTGTGATCCCCTAGGCCCATGGAGTTGCCCTCTGCAGAATACAACTGATGAGATTTTTCTTTTAGCCGCTACTTGCTCATTAGTACATGTAATCCAAACCTTATCTTTACTAGATGCTCCTAGGAAATTTTAACTTACACAGAGTAGTATTAAGGAACCTGTTGCGATGACAGGGAGTCCATGATTGCTGTTATCATCAATGGTGTGAAGACAGTCTGATAGGCCATGACAGAAGTTTAAAATTAGCTGAAAACAGCATGATTGTGTCTCAACTGATGTGCAGAATGCAGGATTCATTACCTGGCCAGAAATAAGGAGACAGCTACTAGATATACTCTCTGGCGGTGTCTACATTGGCAAGATTTTGTGCAAAAGCGGCCACTTTTACACAGAAATTTGCTGCCTGTCTACACTGGCCGCGAGTTCTTGCACAAGAACACTGACGTTGTAATGTAAGAAATCGGTGCTTCTTGTGCAAGAACTATGACTCTCCCGCTCAGGAATAAGCCCTCTTGCGCAAGAGGCCAGTGTAGACAGGCAATGTGAATTTCTTGCGCAAGAAAGCCCAATGGTTAAAATGGCCATCGGCCGCTTTCTTGTGCAAGAGCGCATCTACACGGGCACAGATGCTTTTGCGCAAAAGCACATGCCAGTGTAGACACTGTCTTCCGCAAATACTCTAATGCAAAAACTCTTGCGTTAGAGTATTTGCGCAAAAACTTGCCAATGTAGACCGTAGCCTCTGAGGCTACGTCTACACTGCAGGCTTTTTGCGCAAGGACTGTTTTGTACAAGAGTTCTTGTGCAAGAGCACGTCCACACTGCCATGAGCTTTTGTGCAAGAAATGTGCTTTTGTGCAGGAGCATCCATGACAGTGTGGATGCTGTCTTGGGCAAGAAATCTCTGATGGCAATTTTAGCCATAGGGGTTTCCTGTGCAAGAAACCCCTGTTGCCTGTCCACACTACCTTCTTGTGCAAGACGCTTATTCCTCATAGGGAGAGGAAGAAATTGTTACTCACCTTGTGCAGTAACATCTGTTCTTCGAGATGTGTGTCCCCGTGGGTGCTCCACAACCCACCCTCCTCCCTGCTTCGGAGCTCTTTTATTTCTCTATTTCAGATGTTCCGGTTAGGAGGAACTGGTGCATTGGACCGCGTGACGCAGAAAAGGCGCGAACAGTGCGGGACACCTCTGTGTATGCGCGGTCCTCCGGAGGGGGCTACTGCTGGCGAAAACTTTCCAGATTGCGGCGCTGGGACAAGCCCGATGCACCAGTTCCTCCTAACCGGAACATCTGAAATAGAGAAATAAAAGAGCTCCGAAGCAGGGAGGAGGGTGGGTTGTGGAGCACCCACGGGGACACACATCTCGAAGAACAGATGTTACTGCACAAGGTGAGTAACAATTTCTTCTTCTTCTTCGAGTGATGGGTGCTCCACTATAGGTGAGTATGAAGCAGTAATCCAAACGGCTGATCGTGCTTCGGAATTATCTGTGTACAGAAGAAAGAACTGCTTGAGCGACTGCTACGTCCATAGCTCTGAAACGATCAAGGGCATAACGCCTAGCAAACATGGATGACGACGACCAGGTTGCCGCGTGGCATATGTCTCGTAGCGGGACGTTCTTCAGGAATGCTGCGGAAGTTGCCATGCTCCTGGTCGAGTGTGCTGTTGGTGCACAGGGCAGAGGCCTGCCCCTAAGGGTGTAGCAGCGAGTGATGCAGTTAACGATATGCGACAATATACGTTGTGATGACAGTTGATGACCTTTAGAATGGTTCGCCACTGATAATAGTAATCGTGGGGACTTCCGGAAGGGACACGTTCTGTCCAAGTAGAATGCAAGCACCCTTCTGACGTCTAGTGTATGTAAGCACGCTTCCTCAGGCATAGCATGTGGCTTGGGGTAGAAGGTAGGAAAAACTATAGGCTCATTGACGTGGAATGACAAATTAACTTTTGGGACAAAGGCTAGGTGACATCTCAGCGTGGTGCCCTGTTGAGTGAATACTGTGTAGGGAGGATCGGCGGAGAGTGCAGCGAGTTTGGAAACTCGGCAGGCCGAGGTGATCACGAGGAGAAAGGCAACTTTAATAGTGAGAGTCTGTAAGTCAAAAGTTGCGAGCGGTTCGAATGGTGGGCGAGTAAGAGTGTCCAATACGAAGGTAAGGTCCCATGGTTCTGGGGTAGGCCTGTGTGGTGGGTAGAGATTGGAAATACCCTTAAAGAACCTCTTCGTGAGTGGATGTGAGAAGATGGAAAAACCCTCTATCGGAGTGTGAAAAGCTGAAATCACTGCCAAATGTACTCTCAGGGAAGCGACCGCCAAGCCATGTGAATGCAAGTGGAGTATTTAGTCTAGGATGCATTGGATATGTGCCTGGAGAGGATCAATGGCCTGTGCGTGGTACCAGGCGTAGAAGCAACGCCACTTGTAGAGGTAAGACCACTGAGTGGTCTGCTACCTGCTTTGTACCAACACGTCTCCAACTGCTTGGGAGCAGGTTAGTTCTAGCCCTTGAAGCCAGTTAGGAGCCATGCTGTCAGATGCAACCGGTCGATGTTTGGATTGAGAAGATTGCTGCGTTGTTGCGAGAGCAAGTTGTGCAGTTGTGGAAGTCGTTGAGGTCGGGATAGCGACATCTGCATGAGCTGCGTCAGCCAGGTCTGACTAGGCCAGAAGGGAGCCACCAGGATTACTGTCGCTGCATCAGCTAGTATTTTCCCTATCACTCAGTATCAGCGGAATCGGGGGAAAGGCGTATAGATTATATGTCCCCCAATTGAGCAGGAAGGCATCTCCCTTAGATTGGCTGCCTATGCCAGCTCTTGAGCAGTAACAGCGGCATTTCTTGTTGTCGTGGGTGGCAAAGAGGTTGATTTCTGGATAGCCCCATAGTTGAAAAAGATCGCGGGCTACGTAGTCGAGGAGTTCCCATTCGTGTTGGGAGTGGAAGGATCTGCTGAGTGCATCTGCAATGGTATTGATCCTGCCGGGGAGGTAGGAGGCTATGAGTGTGACGCCGTGGCGAATCGCCCAGTTCCAAAGGCGTACCGATTCCGCACATAAAGTTCAGGATCTGGCTCCGCCCTGGCGATTGATGTAGTATACAGTGCACATGTTGTACATGAGAACATGTAGTGTGGTTCCCTGGATCTGATGGACAAAGTGGCGGCAAGCATTGAAAACTGCCCTGAGCTCCAGGAAGTTTATATGGAGTAGGGATTCCTGGTGGAACCACAAGCCTTGGACGTGATGCTTTCACATATGTGCTCCCCAGCCTACAAGGGACACGTCTGTGGTAAGCTGGATTGACGGGGCGTGAGCGCAGAAGGGGACACCCGCAAGAGTATTGGCAGGGTCGAGCCACAGGGTTGTGGATACTGGTGATACCGGGTTTGTAGACTGCCAGAAGCCAATGTTGCAGGCACCGCATACAAAGATGAGCGTGTGCTATCACATACGTTGTAGACGCCATGTGGCCTAACAGCTTCAGGCAGGTAAGGTACGAGACTGCCAGGGCAGTAAGCAGGACGCTCGATAGGTCTCGGTTGGCGTGAGCTCTGTCTATGGGTAGGTATGCCATAGCGGTTGTAGAATCCAGTCTGGCGCCAATGAATTCGATGGACTGGGCCAGGCCCAGAGAAGATTTTGGAAGATCGTATTAGTCCAAGAGTCTCAAATACCTCTTGTAGCAGTAACTGTGGTCTCAGTCTCTTGCATAGAGGGGGCCGTGAGGAGGCAGTCGTCGAGATAGGGACAAATGGTGATGCCGGCCCATCGAAGGTACGCAGCTACGACTGCCAGGGTCTTTAAAAACACTCTTGGGGCTGCGGAGAGACCGAAGGGAAGCACTGCATATTGGTAGTGATCATTGCCATGCCCAGGGTAAAGCTTAGAAATCTTCTGTGAGCTGGATGGACGGAAATATGGAAGTACACGTCCTGGAGCTCGAGGGACGTGAACCAATCTCCTTGGTGTAGCGCTGGGATGATGGAGCCCAAAGTAACCATTTTGAATTTCTGTTTCCGCAGGTGGCAGTTGAGTCCACGAAGATCCAGGATCTGTCTCCATCTGCCAGATTTCTCGGTGAGGAAGTACCGGGAATAAAAGCCTCTGCCTCGGAACTCGGGAGGAACTTCTTCTACTGCACCGATGGTAAGTAGGCGCATGACCTCCTGATGCAGTAGAAGGTCGTGAGAGGGGTCCCTGAAAAGGGACGGGGATGGGGGGTTGGAGAGAGGTAGAGTGGAGAAGGGAATGGTGAGTCCAGAGGTTACGATCTCCCTGACCCAACGGTCTGTGGTGATGGCGAACCAGTGGTGGCAGCGAACCAGTGGTGGCAATAAGGGCCCAGCTGGCAGTGGAAAAGTTTGGTTACTCATGACGAAGGCTCCAATAGGGGGATGGTGCGCAGACTCTCGACAAGGGCGTCAAACCTGCTGCCAAGGCTGCTGTTGGTTTTGCGGCTTATTAGGCTGCTGGCAGCGTCATTGGGGGCGCTGCCTTTGTTTATGTTGGGTGGTAGAAGAAGAAGAAGAAGGCGGTGGCGGCCTCCAGCTGTTATATGGCCATGTTCTCTTGCGCCTGAAAGGCAGAGTGTACATCCCGAGGGTTCTTAAGGTGGTTCGGGAGTCTTTTCCAGAATGGAACACTTGATCTGTGTTCTGGGCAAACGAAGGCCCGATCAAATGGGAGGTCCTCCACCTTGGGCTGTAGATCTTTCAGTACAGAAGCAAGGTGGAGCCAAGAGGCACGTCGCATGACGACCAATGTCGCCGTAGTGCGGGAAACCGAGTCGACAGTATCCAGAGATATCTGGAGTGCATTACGGGCTGCTGTATAACCCTCCTGCACAATGGATTTCAGTATGTCCCGTTTGGAGTCCGGCAAATGTTGCATTAAAGGCACCAACTTTGAGTAATTATCGAAGTCGTGGTTAGCAAGTTGGGCGGAGTAGTTGGCCATCCTCAGTGTGGCTGTTGCCGACGAATATACCTTCCTCCTGAGCAAGTCCAGATGCTTAGCTTCCTTGTCTGCGGCAGAGTTTCTTGATTGTGCGGACTTCACCTTTTGCTGCGCTGCGCTGCACTGCGTCGCGTCAACGATGATGGATTTTGGAGCGGGGTGTGTAAAAAGAAATTCCGCATCCTTGGCGTCAAAGTATTTCTTTTCTGTGCATTTGTTGGTAGGGGGCATGGACGCTGGGGTCTGCCAGATGTCATTAGATATTTCAAGGATCACGGCATCGAAAGGGAGAGCCAGCTTCGACTTGTTGGACTGTTGGAGGTTTCTGAGGAGGGCATGCTGCTTCTGTGGTGCCTTGGAGGTACATAAATTTTGTGAATAAGCTACCCGTTTAAAAAACTCGTGGAATTGTTTGTAATCATCCATAAGAGAGGGTGGTTCATTAAATACTGCGTCATCTGGGGAGGAGGAAGAGATGTCTGTTGGGAAAGCTGTGGGTGGTTGCTCCGCGACAGGTGACTGAGTGACATCGCTGTGGGGAGCAGAAGTTGTTGACGCATCACCGGTAGGCGTTGGTGGGCACTGAACCAGCAGGATAGAGTCCTGGGTTATTGGTCGTGGTGAGTATAATTGCTGCTGCTCTGGAGACAAGGTGGGGAGGGACGGCCTTGTGAAGGAACGTGAACGATCACGATGGGGCGAGGTACACCTACGGTAATGGGAGTCATGGTGCGAATATGCCGGAGAGTAAGAAGAAGCACTCCTATGACGATAGTAACACGAGCGCGGAGGGGATCCTGGGGATCGTGAGCAATGGGAATTACAACATGGAGATCTTGAGTAGTATGTGCGGTGGTAACGTGGCAGTGTGATAGATTGCCTTGGAGATTTGCAGTAACAGTGTATGGGAGAGTGTCTATAATGGTAGTGCCGTCATCTTTGACAAGGTGAGAGCGATGGCTCAGGGGAAAATGCCACCCTGTCGGGACTGGGGGAAGGCGTATGGGGATGGTGAGTCTTCCTTTGTGCCTTAGTCGGTATTCTCGTGGATGGGGGAGCCATGGGGATTGGGCTACCGGGGATCGAGACGACCGAGGCAGATGCAGTCGGAAACTTCCCCCAAGAGGCGTGGTGACCTAGGTGTGGAGGATGGGGATACTGGTGCCGTATCCTCCCCTGAGCTGCCGGATTGTTGGATCACAGGGACTGGAGCCGAAATGACAGGCGGTGCAGGTCGGGTCGCACACATTGGGTGGTCGGTGCAGGCAGGCGCGGGCGTGCCCTGTATGCGATGCGGAGCCGAGTCCCCAGGTCTTGAATGGGGCCGGGTTGATCTGGGTGCCGAGTGTTTTCTCGGTGCTGGCTCCGCTGTCTGTGCTGATTCGGCTCTTGGTGCCGACTTAGTCTTCAGTGCCGGCTTACGTGACGGTGTCGGATCGGTCCTCGGTGCAGGATCGGTCATCGGTGCCGACTCCGCCCTGGACGACTGGTCCGGTGCCGTATGTGGCAACGGTGCGTCGGTGCCGAGGACCGCACCGTATGTAGCTGCGGTGCCGTGTGGAGATTCGGTGCCGCAGATGATGGTGCCGATTCTGGATGACCTGGCGGTACCGAGAATACTGAAAGCACGGGGCTAGGCGCCGATGTACTTCGGGCTTTTGTTGACTTGTCCGCACCCTGTCTGGGAGGGAAGCCCAATGAGCTCCGTGCCTCTCCTGCACTTACGCTCCTAGGCGGAGCGGAGCTTTTTCTGTCCCTGGACTTACATGGGACTGGAGCTTCCCGTTCTGCTGATGGGGGCTGAAGCGCCTTATTGAAGAGTAACATCTTCAGGCACATTTCTCTATCCCATCTTGCCTGAGCGGTCAACTTCGAACAGTGACCGCATTTCTGGGGGATGTGGCCCTCTCCCAGGCAGTGAATGCAACGGGAGTGGCCATTGGAGGCCAGCATGGGGTTGCCGCACGAGGCACATTTCTTGAAGCCGGGAGAGCCGGGCATGTTTAGTGCGGCGGTCTTCCGGGGAAGAAACAACTTGAGGGGCTGGTCGGAGCGGCCCTCAGTAATGATAACGGCAAAAGAGATTTTTTTTTTAAACGACTAACTAACTATGATAATAAACTGACTAACACTATGTAGGAAGGGGCTAACTGGGAAGGAACAGTAAGAATTTAAGATAGAATTTCTCCTCAGGAGAGGAGCATGTTCCAAGTCTGTCTGCGGCCGTGGACGGCTAGGAGGAACTGGCGCGTCGGACCGCGTGATGCAGAAAAGGCGCGAACGGCACGGGACAGCTCTGCGCATGCGCAGTCCTCCGGAGGGGGCTACTGCTGATAAAAACTTTCCGGATTGCGGCACCGGGACAAGCCCAACACCTATAGTGGAGCACCCACAGGGACATCACTCGAAGAAGAATAACTCTTACGCTCTGTTCTGACGCTGTACTGTAAATTTACTTGCACAAGAACATGTGTGCAGTGTAGACACTCCACACATTTTTGCACAAAAAGCGTGCAGTGTAGACAGCCTCAATATATTTCTGAAGCAGTAATTTTTGTTATAGGCAAGCCACCTGGCTGATCACTCCCTGATCACTTACCTGCTGGTTGAGCCAATCAAGCCTCATTCGGAGAAATGTTAGATATCTGCCTAGGTAAGCCATATGTCTCTTCAGTGGCTCATTAAGGAAAGAGCATGCTGGTCTACTCTGAGTGATGGCTTTGCTGACCGCACTGGGAAGTGTTTTTAAAACACTAGCACTCATATTAGCCGGTTACATAAACTACATATTATGGCAACATAATAGAGACTCGTGACTGGATTAACAAAAGGTACTTAAGCAGCTAATCAGGGGCTTAGGCTTCACAATAATGCAGAGAACTCTCCCCAGATCCCATAGGTGACTAAACCCACTTGGTTCCTAAATTTTCAGGAATAAAAGCTCCCCAGACACTGATGTTTCTTCCTCTGATCATGAGCACTCTTGGCCTGCGGATGCCTACTTCCTGCCTGAGGCCAGGTTTACATTAGACCTGGAAAGTTGAGCTAAGGCAGTGGTCTCCAACCTTTTTACACCCAAGATCACTTTTTAAATGACAGAGCAAGCCAATCAGTTACGAGGTAAGAAACCGTTCTTTCTTCGAGTGATTGCTCATGTGCATTCCAAAGCAGAACCTATGGAGGAGGGCCGGATATTGAAGCTACGGGGGAGTGGAGGACCGCCCTGCCCAGGGCAGCATCTTCCCTGGCTTGATGCATTAGTGCATAGTGATTGGCGAAGGTATGGACAGAGGCTCTGCAGATGTCCAGGATGGGAACCTGTGCCATGAAAGTGGTGGAGGCCACCACAGCTCTTGTGGAGTGCGCTCTAAGGGGTAGAACCGGTACCCCCGCTAGGGCATAGCACTCTTTGATACAAGTGGTTATCCAGGAGGAGATCCGGTGGGAGGACACAGGTTGACCCCTTGCCCGTTCGGCAATGGCCACAAAGAGTTGCAGTGACTTCCTGAAAGCTTTTTACTGAGACAGGATAAAACCAAATGCCCTGTGCACATCTAGAGTGTGTAAAGCCTGTTCTTTCCCAGACACGTGCAGCTTGGGGTAAAAGACCATCAGGAAAATATTCTGGGATGAATGGAAAGATGACTCCACCCAGAAAAGTAGAAAAGCTGGGAGGGGGCGGGGCCTAACCTTGTCTTTGAAAAACACTGTGTTGGGGGGGAATCTGAGGTGAGTGTCCTGAATCATATACCTGCCTGGCAGATGTGAGTGCCACCAGGAGAGACACCTTATAAGACAGGTATAGAAGGGAACACGTTGCTAAAGGTTCGAATGGGGGTCCCATAAGTTTGGAAAGGACCAGCTTTAGGTCCCACTGTGGGACAGGCTGGAGGATGTGTGGGTAGAGGCCAACCCTCTCAGAAATCTGATGACCACTAGGATATCCAACAGAGTTTTCCCCCTTTTCCCCCAGGTGGAAGGCTGAAATGGCCACCAAGTGAACCTTGATGGAGGAGGAAGAGAGGTCCTGGAGCCTGAGGTCTAACAGGTAATCCAGGATCAAGGGGATCACAGCTCGCCTTAGGTGTACCCCCTTCTGGGCGGCCTAGATACTTGGCTAAGTGGAAACAATTCCGTATGTGGTCCTAGTGGAGGGCTTCCTGCTACCCAGTAGGACTTCCTGGACCTGTTACGAGCACTGAAGTTCTTCAGCCATTAGCCATGGAGCTTCCACGCTGTCAAATGTAATCCTGAGTAATCAGGTCAGGGAGCAGTGGGAGGGTCATAGGTCTCTCCCATAACAGGTTGAGGAGGGTTGAGAACCAGTGCTGCCTGGGCCAGGCTGGGGCAATTAAAATCCGGGATGCTCTGAACTCCTGCACCCTGAGTAAGACCTTGTGGATTAGTGGGAAATGGTGGGAAGGCGTATAGTAGGCCCTGTGGCCAGGGGAGGAGGAGAGCATCTCCCAGTGAGCCCATGAGGGAGCAGAATCGGTGGCACGTCCTGTTCTGCCCTGAGGTGAAAAGGTCCAGATGGAGAGACCCCCATGCATGGAAGATAGATTGGGCTACATCCCACCTCAAAGACCATTCGTGTCCTACAAAGGATCTGCTCAGTTTGTCCGCCAGGACGTTTTGGGAGGTATGAGGCCGTGAGGTGGATATCTGCCCCAATGCAAAGTTCCCACAGGTGAATCCCTTTCAAGCACAGGTGAGGGGAACGGGCCCCACCTTGCTTGTTTATATATACCACCGCTGTCATATTGTGATGGAATGAGGACATGTCCCTGAGGTGGGGAAGGAAAACAGCACAAGCCAGTAAGACTGCCTGGAGCTCCCTCATGTTCCGAGCAGGGAGATCTCGTCCACAGACCACATACCTTGTGTGTGACGGTCTTGCAGGTGGGCTCCCCCGGCGGTGTCTGATGTGTCCCTGATAAGGCGGATAAGTACCGGCCTGGAAAATGGTATCCCCGCGGAGACCTCTGCCTGGTTGGTCCACCAGTTCAGAGCAAGGAGGATGGGGGCGGGGACCATCCCCACCCTGTCTCATGAATGGATGACCAGGTTGTAGACTCACAATAGCCACATCTGTAGCAGGTGCATGTGCAGCCTGGCGTGTTGCACTACATAAGTGCAGGTGGCCATGAGACCCAGGAAGAACATGCAAGTCCGGGCTGTGGTCACTGGAAAGTTCTGAAGGTCCCTGACTGCCGCCTCTATCGTGAGAAACCAGCAATTGGGTAGGGAGGCTCTCACTGAGGTAGAGTCCAGGGTGGCTCCCATGAACTCTATTATTGGAGTGGACATTAGGGTTGACTTGTCCAAGTCTAGCAAAAGACCTATATCCATGGTCTCCAACCTTCTTACACCCAAGATTACCTTTTAAATGACAGAACAAGCCAAGATCTACTGCCCCGCCCCTTCCTCTTTATTTTCCTCCTCTCCATCACTTGCTATCCCCAACCCTTATACTGCTGCTTTTTCCCCCACAATTCTTCTGTAGGAAGAGTTTTTTTCCAACATTTGGACCAAATGTCAGAAAAAACCCTTCTTTTGGAAGCCCCCTTATTCCTCGTGGAAAGAATATAGGGGTGACCGAAAGAGCACGTTTACTCTTCCACTAAAAAAAGTGGAAGAACATACATCCCTGGATGCAGAAGTTTTTTCCAGGAAATCTCCAGAATCCTGAAAGACTCCTGCAGCCTAGCTGTACCCTTGCTGTGTTGAGGTAGGATGTGTAGGCTCTGGAGTGGAAATGAGGGATTTGGGTGTGGGATGGGGTGAGAGGTGCAAGCTTTTGGAGGAAATCTGGATGCAGGAGGAGGAAGTGGAGAAGGGGACACTGGCTTGCTATGCGGAGGGGAGGAGTAAGGCGCAAGCTGCAGAGGGGGGCTCCAGGCAGTGTTGGGGTACTAAGCAATCCACAGGCTTGTGGGTATGAGGGTGCAGAAATTTGGGTTGGGGTTTGTGAGGGGCTCAGGGCAGGGGGTTCCAGTGTATGATAGGCTCAGATCTAGGGTCTGGAGGAAGGGGGAGTGCAGCAGTGTTACGATGCTGTGGGCAGATGGGGGCTTGGCCCCATGGGGGGTTTGTTGGCCAGGCTTCATTTTTAAATAAAATACTATGTCAAACACAACAAGTTTCTGCATTGCCTTTATTTATGAGAAGGGCAGGGAACCTGTTGAGAGTCGGGGTCACTGACCCACAGAAAAATCAGTTGAGGCCACACAAGTGAGATGCAAACTCCAACCCCCCCCCATCCTCACTAATGTGGCCCCAACTGTGCTGGTGGGAACAGGGGGTATGGTATTGGGGAAGGGTGCCAGGGGGTACCAGGACAGGGTGCTGGGTAGGGTGCAAATGGGTGCTGGGGCAGGAGACTGGGTGCCAGGGCAGAGGACAGGGTGCCAGTGGGTGGTGGGGCAGGGTACTTTCAGGGGTTTGGGCAGGGGGAGGGGACAGGGACCAGTACCTGGGGATCCTGCACCTGCACGCCAAGGCCCAGGAAGTGAGTGGGCTGCTCCCCACAGCCCTAAACAGTAGCACGGTACCTGAAACACTGGTTTGTTGTGTAGCCTGATGCCTTCCTGTGCAGGCTGGGAACAGAGGGGATGAGGAGTCCTGGACTACGCCTGCTCCAGCCGGCGCATTGGAGACTTTATTCCCCTCTGCCTTGGGGAGTGGCAGGGGGAGTGAGAGTCCCAGCCCACGCCAGCCCCAACCAAAAATGCTGGTCCATCACGTGCTGGGGACTTTGTTCCCCTGCTGCCTTCTTGCGCACGGGGAAGGGGTTGAGTGTCCGGGACTGCGCCGGCTCTGGCTGCTCAGGCAGCACATGCTGCTATGCGGAGGGGAGGAGTAAGGCGCAAGCTTCTTGAGCAGTTGTGGTTGGCGTGAGCTGGGATTCCCCCTCCCCCGCAGGCAGGGAGCAGGGGAATAAAGTCCCTAGCAAGCTGGCTCCAGCTGCTCAGGCAGCGCGCGCTGCCCAGGCCGTTGGGGATGGCATGGTCTGGGACTCCCCGTTCCCACTGCCCGAGTAGCTGCTGGAGCCAGCATGCTGGGGACTTTATTCCCCTGCTGCCAACCACAACTGCTCGAGAAGCTTGCACCTTACTCCTCCCCTCCCCATGACAGCATGCAATTCCCATTGGCTGTTTGCCTGCAGAGGGCAGAAATGCTTCCTTCCCCCTGCCAGATGGAGCCTGTGGACCAAATACCTCCCTGCCTTGCCTTGATTGGGCCTAGGAAGCTCAGGGCTCTCTCCCCAACGTGAAGATACAGAGGCAACAGCATGGGGGGAGGGTCAGGCTGCATGTAATCATGCACATTAATCGTTAAGCCCAGGCTTACTGGTTAACATCCTTAGAGAGCCCCAAGTCCCATGGGCTAGATCAAGGCAAGCTGCTGGTACCCGGCCCATGGACTGTAGGTTCTCCATCCCTGTTGTGTAATGATCAATCGAACATGACTACTGTTAGAGCTGATTGCATAATTTGCAGATATAGAGAATTTTGGTCCTTTGCTTTCAAAAAAGGATTCAGAAACATCAATAGCCTTTTCTTCTCCAAAATTTTATTAGACATTACTAGATGACACCATATAACCCTCAGCATGCAAGTAAAGAAATTGCACTGTGTATACCATCACACAATCCAGATGTTAACACTCAGAACACTCTCTGCCAAGATTAGGTCTGGAATAGGTGGAGTACATTCACATTTTTTTAACAACATTCTCCAGTTTCATCATGAGATAGTTTCCTTTTAATTCCTCATAAATAAAGGACATTAGAATATTGATGAACGTCAAAGGGATGCATTCAATGAAGCACAATAAGCTTCTGACTTCTGAATTTCACCCACAGCATATACACCAGATTCACTGGATACTTTACTCAAAATGCCTACGCAGTAAGTGTGACTGAATTTAGCAAAGTGGAACAGTACAGTGACATACCTATAAATGAATATTAGTGAGGTATCATTTGAAAATAAACTGTTAAAAATTTCACTTAATTTCAAAAGATCCTGTCCAGCAGGACATTTTTCCTTATTCTCATGTTTTTGTACATGTGTATATACAACCTGTGTCTACATGTTTTTGAACAATTCATTTCAGTATTAGTTGTACATTCATTAGGACAAGTTTAAACAGACACTACTCAGACATTGTACAGAAGAGGATAGAGGACAAACACTGTCTATAGGCCACGAAAAACAAAAGGCACTCAAAAGAAGAGGAAAAATATTAGTTACAAAACATTGACACAAATTGAAGCAATTGTGGTAGGAGCTTATTCAGTAACAGATACTGGTATAATTCTAAAGTATCAGTCTGAAAGGTAGATTAGTATAAAAA